ATATATACATATATATATATAAATATATATATATATATTATATATATATATATATATATATATATATATATATATAGAGAGAGAGAGAGAGAGAGAGAGAGAGAGAGAGAGAGAGAGAGAGAGAGAGAGAGAGACAAACATACACACACACACACACACACACACATACACACACACACACATACACACACACACACACACACACACACACACACACACACACACACACACACATATATATATATATATATATATATATATATATATATATAGAGAGAGAGAGAGAGAGAGAGAGAGAAATACATAGATAGGTAGGTACGTAGTCTGTCTGTGTGTATACATATGGGTGGACATACATGTGTGTGTGTGTGTGTGTGTATAGATAGATAGATAGATAGATAGACAGACAGATGGATATGTATGACAGATAGATATATATGTATGTGCATATATGCGAGTATGTATATATATACTGTACACACACACACACACACACACACACATTGTATATAAAGAAGAAAGGAAGAAAAGAAGAAAAGGGGGAGAGAGGATGAACAGAAAGACGAAGGGGACCATATAATTCCAAATTAGAAAACGTAATTCGAAAGAAGTTTTGTAAAGCTACAATAAAAAAAATACGAAGTGAAAACTTTTACTGAGAACGAAAAATCTAGACTGAAAAATAACAAAATTCTCAGAAGAGATAAAATAGAGGTAGATTTGAAAGTGACTGCATTTTGGTAAAAAAAAAAAAAAATGAAAAGTAAAAAATGGCAACAATAGAAGAATCAACCCAAGGAAATCTTACAAGTAATCATGGTACCAAACACCAGGCCAAACACCTGAATATTTTAGACGCCTTTTCTTTCCATACTGCGCAAAAATTGAGCTATATGCATGATTCAAATAGAAGAGCAGAATACTCATCACACAATCTACTTTGTACGATGGCAGAAGCATGACATATAGTATGCATATTTGCATGCAGTGTTCATGCGGAGACAACGCAAACTATGAACCTATGAAGCAACACATATTGCTGCAAAAATAGCGAACTATTAAAACAACTCAGGACTATCCTCAACCTAGATGATCTGTACATAACGGTATTAATGTTCAATAATGTGGAGCTAAGTGAAGAAATAAAGACTTTAAACAGACTCGAAAGTCCTGCAATTTTGTTTTAATAAGTAAATAGACCATGGCAAAACCGATGGCTAACTCTACACTGGAACTCCCTGGATATGGGAATTATTTTAATTACACTGAAGGGAAAAATCTTTCACGCAAAAAAAATCAAACCAATGACACATCTCAAATAATACGAAAATATTTAATAGGGTAGTAAAAAAAAAGTCTAGTACCTAAACTATGAAACCATGGATCTTGGATATCCCAAAGGACCTAAAGAAACTGTCGTAATATAATTTCAACTGGACCAATTACGGAATTTTACTTCATAAATTTATGGACCTTGCAATAGAGAGAAAACACGAAGACGGATAAACAATTTTCTAACAGAATACAAAGAAAGTATAATGATTGATGGATTTTTATCGAGTGAATCGGTTGTTAGAAGCAAATTGCCACACGAGACAGTTCTTTGGTCCTCTAATTGTGATTGAAGACATTTATATATGTAATAAATACTCCAGAATAACTTGTAGACGATATAAGATCACCATTTAAGGGATGTATAGGACAGACCTAAAGATGATCTATGTAGTAATTGTGACTCGTCAGGTGAAAACAATATGACATTCAGTAATTATAAATTCGAAATAAATTATAGTCTAACTGGTACTCCGACACCATGATTATACTCTGCTGAAGAAGTATATCTATTTTTTAATGTACATGATTTGAGCCTGTTTGTGAGTAATTACTTGAACATTCATCAAAGGAAAAGTTATAAGTGTGTGGATGATGAAGACTTGTAAACAAGAGACCCAAAAAATCTGCGACCACTATGAGCTAACGATTACAAGAGTGGAATACCAACGCCAGTTATAGAAGACTTACATAATGTAAAATGTCATTAGAACAGGTTGAATGAGAATCCACTCAAACATAGTAGGTCTTGATTAATGGGAAAGAATGGGTTTTCTCATTTCATATACGGAAGATTATTTTGAACTTGGTACCAAATCCAAGAGATGTGGAAGAGGGGGAAGTAAAGTAAGACATTCCCCCAGACAAGGAAGAATGGGCCATCTTACAGGGATAAGAAATCAGCTAGTGTGCCGAATAATATTAGAAACAACTCAGGAATTTGTTTTCAAAAACAGAAAACTGACTGAATTCGATAAGAGATGAACTGCCAGGTGACAGTAAATGAACGTAGGCTGAATCGGATTTCAAAGCTTCATCAAAGTCATGTACTAAGAACTAACAGAAGACATGAACTGTAAGTGGCGTCGTTATTAGAATGTACATCAGGCTATTTTTTTAGTAGGTATGGAGATCAGGGGAAGACGTGAGATAATCTTAAAACCGCCATGTGCACTTCTGTCAGCGTGGCTAACGTTAGATATAAAATTGTTTATCCCTAAGTTGTAGAGGGCGAGTTAGTATTCGCGAGTCCATAGAAAATGTAAAAAAAAATAAGGGAAGCCTATTTTATATTACACTTCTCTATCTCCGAACAGAGATAATTAGGATGGTGTAATAACTAACGCATTCAGTAATAAAAACCAATGACCTTAAAAGAAATCTAACTTAAGGATGGTCATTACCAACCGTGTATAAAGGTGCAAAAGCAAATGGGTCAGAATGAAAGGAGGTCAATATAAGAATGTGACTACATTTCACAGAAAAGAGGGAGCATTCACAAGAACTCTCCGAGATAACAAGAACCCGAAACACGGGACTTCCATTCGTCAATTCGAGATGTACTATCCATTCATAGTTTTAATCCACCTTGTCCGACGACATCGGTGATAATGAGTTCAATAGCTGGCGAGGGTATAAAAGATTCCAGTGAATGGCAGTAGATATCGAAGAAATAACATTAGTAATTTCCGCTAATAATGAATAAATAAAAATTCATGTGCGACTTGTATGAGACTCTGGTTATGACACCTTCTTTGCACGGTGGTTCTGCTGGCCAAACGACCCTTGTGCCTTTCTAATAACAGCTTATGCTACACTGTAGCTGGTTACCGTAGACTAAAACCTCTATCTAGACAATAGACAGTAGATTATCTATGCCGAGGGGATTCTCAGCCACACTCACCATGATAAGAGGAATATCCTCGCTTCCTCACTGACTAGGTTTGAGCCTCTGTCACACAAAAGGTTTTCTTGGATGCCAGATCTCTGGAACTACCTCCTAAATGCAGATGCAAGTTTGTTAATGGTTGACATCCTTGGGAAGTGCTCCACTTCGGGCCAACCTGTCAACCTTTCTGCGTAGGCCGCGTTGAAACAAGTGGCGTTCGGCTCGCCGCAATGCATGCAACACCTCTCTTCACGGTCTATTGTAATTCATTTTCTGGGGCAGAAGTGAAATTTTTGCATATCTGGCACTACCGTCCGTCGTTTTTATGCTAGGCCAGTATACAGCCTACTTAGCGCACCGTAATGCAGAATCTCTAACCTGATGACCTGAGTGAAGGTTGACCAGGACCCACGCCACAGGGATGACCACTCATAAGTGTCCCTC